CTGAAGGCAGGACTGCAGGGGGGTCTCACCAGAGCAGAGCAGAGGGGCTGAATTCCCTTCTTTGACCTGCTGGTCAGGCTGCTTGGGATGCAGCCCAGGACACAGTTGTAGAATAAGACTCTGAGAACGTTAACTTTTCATGCACACGCACAAAACTACTTAGAGCAACAGGCTTCTTTCAAATATAGCTGGCCCCGATGTACAAAACTGCGCACTTAAGCAACTCAATGAATTCTTACTAGCCCAAAGCAGAAGTGCATGGCATAGTACACCTCGGCAGAATGTGTGAACTTTAAATAATTATTTAGCAAGCATGAAGGTGTAACGTCTCTAGGTTTCCTGCCTATTTCTAAATCAAGGCTTAAGTATCCTGTAGAAGAGCCTCCTTGCCCAGAATAGCAATTCAGAACAGCAGCTTGCTTATTGAAAATTCTCCTCCTTAAGGGACTATCCCTGGCAACAACTCCTTGTAAAACCAAAGCACTTAGTTACTTCATTCACAACTGTCATTTGCAATAATCCTGTACATGAGTGGGTAATGTTTGCCACACATTTTAGCGAGAAGCCTCAACACTACACCTGGAACCTCAGAGGACAACTTCACCCGTCATTTCTGCAAACGCGCACCGTTAGTGAGCCTCTTCCATAATAAAAAAAGCTTCCCGAGGTGTCAAACGTCCCTTATAAAACTGCAGTAACCATGCAGCCTTCACAATGCACCTGAAATCAGCTGCAGAGGTTTCTGTGACACAGATTTAAAAACATGAGGTCAGCAAAAACACTCGCTTCTCAGAGACAATGGTATGAATGACATCCATTACTCAACTTCCTGGATACTACTGAATTTTTTAAACAAAGCAACTACAGAATCTAAAGGCCTCGGTTTCAAGTTTACATTCAACTCATCACTGAGTCTCTTCCCGTGCTGCCTTACTTGCCCCCTCACCCCTCTTCTGTACCCACCAAAATGTGTACCTTTCCATAAATAGTAGTTTCCCATTCCTCATGCGAGTAAATTGAAGTCTCAATATCACATTTTTGCTCTGTAAGAACCTTTCACCAGCCTCAATGCTTCAACTACCAACGCCTGACAGCACCCATCTGCTGACGTTCAGTTCTACCGGGCCATCCTCATGCTTTCTAGGAAAATAACGAAGCTGGAAAATCCAAACATTTATTATTCCATTTGGGAATAGCATAACAAAGCAAGAACTAACTGTTGTGCTGCTGTCTAACATCTCAGAAATCCCAGAGAATCAACTCTTGGGGATCCAGGCACTGAATGTTTCCACATCAGTTTCTTTGGCTTCACCTGACCTCACTTGAAATTTTACCAGCCTCCTCGTTTGGTACTCCTCTAACAAGGACAAAAATCAGCTAGGCAGGTTTGAGTACTTTGCTAACATTCGACAACAGCAGTTTGCCATACTACCTGCAACAGCCACGATAAACCTGCAAATACTTCACGACATCAATCTTGAGAGAGCGGAGGCGATTATATTTAATCATCTTTGAGGATCTACATAGATATCCTTATGAAACAGGTTAGTACTAGAAGCGACATATTCTATAGCTACTCTCCAGCTTACGGCTTAGCGTTGCTCCTCCACACACCACCTTGTGGCGGCAGCTCCTCCTGAAAACTGCAGCTCCCAGTTGCTGGAAGATGTATTCCTTACCTCCAAGTGTTCTCCAGCACAGAGACAAAGTTTGCTCATGTATGAATTTGACATCTGAGGACAACACGAGCTCCAGTGCAGTGGTGCATGCCTTCATGGCATTGTTGAAGGGAGAGTTGAGGGAGGGAACGCAGGACACAGGACAGCGGAAGAACAGCACCCAAACCCCTGTGTTAATTTACACCTTCTGCCAGGGTAGGAGCAGAAGCTGCAATGCAGAAGTTGGGTTCCGTGGGACTCATCACATGCTCCATGGGTCACAACAAACAGCTCAATTTCAGGATCTTACAAATATTACTCACCTCATCTATGTTTCTGAGCCACTTGCTGATGTTTTCAAAGCTCTTGGCATTGGTGATGTCATATACTAGCATGATCCCCATGGCACCTCTGTAATAGGAGGTGGTGATGGTGTGAAATCGTTCCTGCCCTGCTGTGTCCCTGCGGAAGACAGACAAGAGTACATATCAGAGGCAAGCTCTAAAGAAACCAGCACGGTGTAGCTGTTAGACAAGGGTGCGTGGCCTGGTACGTGCTCTGTTGCACCACTACCGAGGGATGTGCAATGTTTCCAAAGAGTGGTAGGACACACTCCAAGGTGCACCAGCAGCAGCTTCAAGGCAGGCTCGCTCCCTCCCAGATGTAGCTGAACACTCAGAGAACAAAAAGGGCACGCTTCAGTAAACTAGGCTCAGGAAGGCACAGAAACTTAGGGTTTGAAGTTTCTCGTTTGGATTTTACTTTAAAGGGGATTTTTTCTTTAAAAACACATTTCAGTCACAACTGGGACAGAAACAAAAGACACTGGATTGCTTACCTGGGTTTTTACATAACTAAGGTGGCAGACGATGAAGCTATCTGTTGAATAGCAAATTGGTAAGTTGCAGTAGGTCTTCTGGTATCTTACCACAACAAATAAAACCAGTATCAAGTCAAGGTAGAAATTTGTTAATTTTAAACTTTGTATTTTTATTGACAACTTGAAACTTGCACGCAAAAGGAGAAACTTTTATTGCCAAATCTCATACCTCAGGGAAGTGCCTGAAAGACTTCTGAGCCTTGGTGGAAGGCGGTAGCAAACAGCACAAAGACAGGAGAGAAATGCTCTACCAACACTTCGACAGGACTGCGAGCTCTGGCAGCAGGAGCGGCGAACAACCCCAGAAATGCCGTTGTCCCAGACACCCTCTCCTGTTACTGACCAGGTCTTCCCAAGTGAACATAAAAATAAGCCAATTTAAAACTCCCATCTACGATTTTTAAGTAACATACAATAACCACTGACCAGCTTGATTAGACAGGGCGCAAACCCAGCTGACTCACTACTCAAGTTTCTATAGAAGTTCCCAAAATATTGTAGGTTGTTCAGCAGTGCTGCTGTCAAAGTCAGGAGAGACTGGAACCTGACCCAACTACCCAGTCAACACCACCACGATGCCCGAGAAGATCCCTTTCCCTCTCAGCAGCTGCTGAGCAGCCACGAAGACAATCAGTCAATATTTTCTGGAACTCACGTGTAATACTAAGAGGAATTTTGTTTTCAGATCAGTTTTATAAAGCTTTAACTTGATCTTACAAATGTATATTCCTGGAATCTGAGATCAAACTATATGAAAAATAAATCTAGGAAATGTACTGTAACATTAAATTGTTGATTTCTATAAGCAATATGCTGAAAATTGATCATGCAAGGTTAATGACAGTATGTATTTTCCCATCTCGTTCTGAGATCTTTGACAGAACGCACGAGATTTGGTTGAACAAATCTGCACACCATTAAGTTGAGAATTAGGAGTTAGCTGTATATTCTACAGCGTCTTTCAGAGGACATAAATCTAACAGATTACTTGTTTACAGACAGTTTTCAGTAACATTATTCACATAAAAAAGAAAGGACCTGTTGGAGCAAGTCCAGAGGAGGGCACGGAGATGATCCGAGGGCTGGAGCACCTCTGCTGTGAGGACAGGCTGGGAGAGTTGGGGGAGGTCAGCCTGGAGAAGAGAAGGCTCCGGGCAGAGCTTAGAGCAGCCTTCCCGTACCTAAAGGGGCCGACAAGAAAGGTGGGGAGGGACTTTTGACAAGGGTAGGGAGTGAGAGGACAAGGGGTGATGGCTCTGAACTCGAAAGAGGGAAGATTCAGACTACAGATAAGGAAGAAATTGTTTACACTGAGGGTGGTGAGGCCCTGGCAGAGGTTGCCCAGAGAGGTGGTCAATGCCCCATCCCTGGGAGTGTTCAAGGCCAGGTTGGATGGGGCTTTGAGCAACCTGGTCTGGTGGGAGGGGTCCCTGCCCATGTCAGGGGGTTGGAGTAGATGGCCTTGAACAGTCCCTTCCCACCCAAACCATTGTATGATTCGATGGTTCTACGACAAAGTAGAAACCAAAGGTGTCCCCAAACTTAAAGCAGTCTAAACTGAGATGACACATTCCCTAACCGCCTTCAGGACGGCACAGCGTTCCCCCCCCAACTCACATTTCCTTGCTCACAAACCAGTAACCTCAGAAAACATGACGGATTGCAGTTGAACTAGTTCAATTCATTCCCCAATCGACTGTTCCGGAGGTCACAGCAAATTCTTTGGCAGAACACGGACACCACCAGGTACCGAGTGCAGTGAAAACTCGGCTCTCCCCACCACCCACATTTGAACCAACAAATGCTGACTGTAGTTGCCAAATCAATTTGTTTAAGCACGCACCAGATACCTGGCCAAGTATCAGTTGGCAAACAGGTGGTAAATGAAAAGCCTCGAAATCCAAAGATTTTATGGAGGAAAAGTTCCTGAGATGCAGCGGAAATGCTCTACAAAGTTTCTTCTCACAGTCTTACTGGCTCTGTTTGGCTCAGACCCCAGATCACGGTTGTGAGGCCGATTGCTCCCGAGAATTTATCTCCTCCTAGGATATGACAAACACGGGGAAGAGGGCAAAGAGCAGAGTAGGAGGAATAGGGGCAGCTCCTAAACCTGAGTAGCACTTCGTTCAGAGATGTTCTAACAGGCCATGCTGCACAGAGGTCTGGATTGTTGGTAGTAGCCTCAAGAGGCAATCTAGTCCATTCCCTGGCTCTACAAAATGTTGAGGGATATCCACATTATTCCTGAAAGGTGTCTGATGTTCTGCTGGAGACCTCTGACAATTGCTGTCTTGAATCCCCCTCTCTCCTTTCCTTTCTGTCCCATTTGGAAGTTTCTCTTGATGGCACACTTGGGTTCTCCTTAGGGCAAATCAAGGCCGTCAATCCTTGCCTTACCTTTCATAGGTAGCTATGGGAGTTCGTTTCCCTTCTTTCTACAATTACTTTTTACATATGTAAACTCAGCTCTTGCACCTTCCCTGAATTTTCTCAAGCCACCTCAAGGTCTTTAGGCCTTACTCACTGGCCAAAGGTCTAAGATACACAGCCTCACCTATTACTCTCTGGACTCCCTCCAATTTGTCCATATCTAAGCAAAAACCACGACACTACTCCAGCTGATGTCGTACCAGCCTCATACAGGAATATTTTCTAGAAGACTTGGGCATGTCTGTTTACACACCCCACTCCCCTTCCTCATGACTAAGCAGATTTTTCTGGCATCTGAGTAAGTGATTACACAGACCGCACTTGATAACTTTGCATTTGGCTCTACTGAATTTCACAGGACTTCTTTCAGTGACATTTCTCCAATCGGTCAAAAGCTATCTGAACTATAATCCAGTCCTCTGCACAATTTATACTTTGCAATTCACCTTCTCCTGCTTAGCTTCAATATAACCACCATATTCTCTATTCTCTTATCTCAACTGTTAAAGAAAACATTGCCTATCATGAAACTCAGGACAGACTCCTGCAAAGTATCTCACCAGAACTCTTAACTTACACATCGTTTATTTTCTCTGCCCATGAGTTCTGTATTCACTTGATAGCATCTCTACATAAGTCATTTCCCCCTAACTTGCTCACATCAAGCAGGACGGTGTCAGAAAAGCCTTACCAAACCCAACAAGACATACAGCATCTGCAATTTCTCCCCTCCTGACAAGGCCGCTAGCTGTCACAGCAAGAATTGAGATTGATTTGACACAACTTGGCATTGGCAACACTTAGTTGTTACTCAGTGCTTGTCACATCCTATGCTCCTACAACTAACTTGCTTAGTTAATTCCTCCACTGTTCTTTCTGGCCACTGAGGCAAAGCTAATGGTTGAAAGGAAAGTTGAGGAGGGGGAAAAAAAGAGAACCTGGAGTGTCTCCTCCTCCTCTTTTTTTTTTTTTAAATAAGTACTATATTTGCCCTTTCCCCTTCTTAATGGATTCCCCATTCATTATTCAGAGAGAACTCTTAATGGATATGAGATTAGTGCACGGACTGAAGCAAACAGAGGAAATGAGTTATGGTTTTCAAACTGCCCACGACTGGTGAATCCACCCTGAGCAAATGGCACAAGACAACCGGAGACTACATGTCTTGTTTACTGCCCTGGCTTTCCACTCTTTCGTTCAAACCTCTGGGATGTAAGAAAATGCTCCAATGCTATACGCCTGCAATAAATCCTTGATGTACGCAAAAACATTTCTGGAAGCTAGCTAGCTCTCCAAGCTAAAATAAATGTAGACGAGGACTATTAAGACAGCCAAGGAAAAATGAAGCTCTGCTGCACAGAAGGAAACACAGAACTTGGTTTGTTTAGCTGCAAAATGAAGACAAAGAAGGTCAGTCCTGTGGGACTAGCGAAAGGAGAAGCACAAGGAAAGTGGAAAATCTATTTAAATTATTCTTATGCCAACATTAAAGTATGTGTAAGCTATATCGTATCAGAGGTTTAACCAACAGAGAAAGGAATTTCTGGGACGGCTTTCCGGTTGACCCAGCAGAGACTAAAGAAACCTTAAAATGTACTATGATTTGTTTATGAAAGATTTACACGGATGCAACAAGAGGAGATTATATCTGATGATCTGTGAAGATCCTTCCAGTCCACATAGCCTGAAATAAAGGTCTTCAACGCATTAAGCCAAATAATTCCTAGTAAAATAATCCTAAGAATTTTATTACTGTCCCACTGTTTCTTTTTATAATATTTTTAAAACTACACAGTAGAGTACTGCATTGAAGAAACGGTACTGCTGACATCAGGCGCACTCTGGAAGCTTTAGCAACTGGGTCGAAGACTTTCCTTCACAAAGGAACATATGTAAGATACTTCATGACTCGCAAATTTCAGCTTTTCTGAAAAATATTCAGCTGTGGGGGGTGTGTGTTTTATAGGAAGTCAGACTGACATGCCAGAAAAGTCTCTTCCACCTCGAGCTATGCACATGGTGAACAGTCTCAAAAGCTCTCAGCAGCAACAGTTAACTTTCAGACATTCCTAGGTTAACTCCAAAAATTAATGAGACTGACCATACCCTAGTTAGTGGTGCTGTCTGCAGCTCTGGCTGTTCACCACCATACTCGCGAAATGCAAGAACTTGCGTGTAACAGGGAACTTCCACACGAGTAACTATTTTGGGCATCTATGGTGCTGCACCTTTCTTCCACCCGGACAGCCATTCCAGGTCAGATGATAATTTTTTGCAACGAGCTCACTGCTGAATAAAACAGAATTATGAGGACACTTAAAACCCACGTAAAAGTGTTCCCAGCAAAGATGCACTGATAGAGAAGTGCCACTTTATGGTCTTCTACACAGTTAAGAGCCGCATACTAAAAAAATAAGGCTGTTCTAAAATTTGGAATCAGTCAACAAGACCGTAGGAAAATAGGCTAACAGACAAATTTTATGTAAAGATAGGAGGGTCAGAGTAGCAGCTAAGCAGGAAAAAAAAGAAAAATTTAAACATCTTCAAACCTTCGAATTAAATGTTTTTCAGTTTACTACAGAAGCAATTTTGTTATCGTACTGCTTCCATACTAACACAACGCTATCTAGTGTGATTATTTCATACACCATTGAAGAGAAACGGATCGTTTGTCTTACCCAGCTGTGGAAGCTCTTCAGGATGTCGCCTTTTAGATCTCAACTTCCTGGCCATAACGATGCGATGCAAGCCAC